GTTTTTCCCAGTGGATATTCACTAGGGCTGCAAAGAAATTAGGGAAGGGTAAAAGAAAAGGGAGAGAAAGAGAGAGTTATATACGTGGTCTCTGGAGAAATAAAAATTCTGATCAAATATAAGTCGACCGTGGGTGTGCGTTCTCCTTCTTTTGTATATGGACTATAAGACCCCAATATGAAATGAGCATTAGGAGCCCTCCGATAAATTGATACTTTCCAAATTGACGGGAAATTAGATCCACTCAATAGTTCATGCCAAAGAGCAGTTATATCATGTCAATTTGGTAATGGCATTTTCATAATATTTCTAGCATAAAAATAATACTAAAATAAGAAAAATATCTAAGAAATTATATAAAACATTTTTAAAACTTTTAAACTACTTTAAGTACTGGAAAATTATTTTAATATTAGTATTTATTTATTTGTGTTTAATTTATAAACATAATGAAAATGGAAAAGTTTTCAAAGCATTGTATGCAAACATAGGGAATATCATAACCAAGCTATATAAATAAACAGTGCTTATAACATATATTGTAAATAATATACTATGTAGGTACATAGTTCATTATTTTTAATTAAATTAGATATAGGTATTTTAGATATTTAAAATAAATGTAAAACTTATTCGGTTTCAAGGAATAATTAAAGGTATTTTTTATTCGTGTATATTTTAGTATTTATCTACACAGTATAAGCTAAATAAACTTAATTTTTTATTATTATTATTTGTTCAAGCCATTATTAAAAACAAATTTAAAACTTTATATAAGGTTGGGTAGGTAATAAAAAAATTACCCAACATTATTATTTGAGGGCCTCATTTTACGTTTCTAAATCAACCACCACGAACTATCAAGTTTCTGGACAACATTCATTAACCTTACATAAAACACAGATTAATAAATAAGCACAAGTAGAAAATTTCATCAGAAGTGATTAGTATTTTTTCACAAGTAATTGATTAAAAAATAAAATTACCGAAGAATATTTACGAATAATTAATTGGCATTTATTATGACTTAAGCACTTTTTATGGGTTAAGTTTGTTTATAAATGGTAATATAATTATTAAATAAATACTGAAAATGTATTAAAATTTGATTTATATGATTTAGTTATATAAATATATACTATACATATAACATTTAAAATTATCCGAATAATGAAATAACTATAAATAAATTGTTAAATAATTGATACACATAATATGTAGGTACCCTATTAATTTATTATTAGTTTATATTTTCTTACAATGTTTTGTACCTATACTGTAGATGAAACTTAATTTTGATAATATGCTTAGCTTTTTGAGGTGTTAATTACTCTAATTTATATTCTATATACATTTTTTCATTTACTAAACAAACATTGTTATTATTATCATAATAAAAAATATATATACATAATATACCTACTATCATGGGTTTAGTAAACTTGACTAAACTCCAAGTCTTAAAAAACCAAAAGTTACTACAACGTACTTTCTGATCCCAGCGGTCAAGCTAGACAAAGTCTCCGTGAAGTATAATTTTTATCACTGAAAACAGATTTTGAAGTTTTCATCGAAAAACCCATTTTAAATTCCCCAAGAGAAAATCTGAAAAGTTTTAAATAACACTTCTATGACCGGTAATAACAGGAAACAAAATAAAATATTTAAAAATGTATATAGGTACATTGTCTATATACGGTTTATTGGTAGTTTATTGTTATAAGATATAGTCAATGTTATCTTCGAGGGAAATTTAACATACATTACACAAATTATATTTATCGTAATTACTGTCTAGATTAGCAAGGTCGTTTTTAAGCTACGTACCTATAGATTTAACAAAATAGTATGACATATTCTTCGTCTTCAACAAATTCTACTTGCAAAATGTACTGATAAACTTTCCAAAATGAAGGAATAATATCTTCGTTTTAAATAATTAAAGCATAATATGGAAGGGGAAAAGTCGTATTGGCCCACATTTATAATATTCATTAAAATCGGATTTACTTCAATAGAATAATATTTTTACAATAATATGTTGATAGTTTTTTTCCTCTAAATTCTTTCTACTTGCTAAAAGTAATGTAAGTAATGGTACAGTAATTCAAGTTCCTATATATAACTATACTGAATATATAGTGGGTTAACTTAGGGGCGGCTCCAGAGACCCCCCCCCCCCTCGGCCGCAGGGCCAAGTCATAATTTTCAGAAAACTTTCGATGTTATAATATGGTTTTTGTAATTTTGTTATTAACAATTACAATTTTTTAGAACTGAGGGGGTTGGGAAGGGACGGCCCCTTGAGACCTCATTGGAGCCACCCCTGGGTAAACTACACTCAACGGCACTTCTTTGCTTAAGTATGCCACTATAGATACTAAAGTTTTGAGCTTTCGAGCTAACTAGTGGGATCACTATAAAATGTATTTTTAAATAGGATGTTTAGTATATTTTTCAAAATATATCATTGAACAAATGTAGAGATATATTATATACATGGTTTGGGGTGCGGGTGTATCGTGCATATACTGTTCTCAAACATTTACGGTTTTCATTGAAATCACACGTACGAATATTATACGATCTTCGCGAATCGCAATACACTGACAATACATTTAAGTGTAAGTTAAAAATTATCACAATAATTAAGGATCTAATTACCTACTCATTACTAATTCACTGCGTTACAAGTCATATATTTATGTTTGTTTACCTACGACGAATTGATTTTAAAACGTTTCAACTCTTAAGACTTGTTCGTGTCTATTTTTTCCCCCATGAATGTTTGTCGTTAAAATATATCCTGAAAACCTCATCTTAAACTTTTTGAATTTGATATAAATCAAAGTTGGTAAATATTTGTCAGCAGCAAATATATTATTGCTCACTCTACACATCGGTAGATAAAATGATGTGTTAGTATGACGTGTTTATGCGGAAATCGTAGAACTTTGGCACTTAACTCTTGCATGAAAAGTTTCATGTTTCCCAAAGGTCAATGATAAATTTTCCCAACTCTGTATTTTTTAACGAGTGGTCAATCAAAATATATATATTTTTACAAAGTAAAATTTCAAAATATTTTTTTCATTTCTCTTGAGGATTTGTTAACATTTTGAACAAATCTATTTTTACACCTGTATTTAGTATAATAAAATACCTCATTTCAAAGTGGTACTTATAACCATTAACATTTAAAATGGTAAAAATATTATGTAATATTTTTTATATACCTAGTATACAAACTTGTTTGAATACCTTTAGTTAATGTACATATATATATATATATGTACCTACAAGGTACCAATAATTTATGTAGAAAAATATAAAATAAATTATAATATGCTGATTTGCATAATTTGTTAGAATCTAATAGCAATGGTATGTAGAATTAGCTACATAATTTTTAAACAAAAAACTTGAAAATACGAAGTTCCTCACACATTTTTGTTTGTGGAAATTAAAAAAAGAAGTTGAGCGTAAGTCCACAATAATTTTTCGTAATAAAAATCACGAAATTTAAAAAATTTTCTAAGACAGAAATTCAATAAAATTGTTCTTTTCATATCTAGGATTTGAAAACTTAATACAAGATTTCTTATAAGTTTATTCTACCTTTATGGAAAAAAAAAATCCTCCCGGAAAGTCAATTTAAATTTTTATGAGAGTTTGAAGTTGACATTTTTACAACATTGGATATTCGCTGGATTACTTATTTTGTTGTAATTCAAAAACAAATAACTGCAGATACTTGAAATTTACGCCATATTTTTATTTTAACAATTCATACACTTGATAAGATTTTCAAAATATTTTGACTCGTTTTGAGCTTTTTACGAACATTTTAAATTTTCATTTTTTTTTCTATAAATGTCAATCAAATTTTATTTGTCAAAAAAGAGTGAAAATCGATAATACAAGGTTAATGATAATATATTGTTACAATATCAGTGGAAAAATATCACGTCTTTATTGTATTATCATTTAAAGTCCAAATTGTGACAACATTTCTCAAATTAAAAATTGAAAAATGATTTTGTAATTAAATGTATTCAATGTTCAACTTTTATACCTGAGAATTGAAAATATTAACAAGGTTCTACGTAATTATTTAGTTCGATAGCCAAAAAATCTAAAAATAAACATAAACACAGCTTTTTTTAGAGTTATTTTAGGTTCAAATTTAAAAGAAATTACATATGAACACAAAGAATAACAGTTTTAGTCATTTTGTTGTGATTTGGTTCCAAAACACCTCAATTTTACACAAGCATATTATATATAATATTTTGCCAGCATCGTTGATAATTTAAGAATAATATTGTGAACAATATTAATTCAACTTACCGGCTACCGTATTAACAACGAGTAATAGCAATATAAAATATCCTAGACTGACCTACCGTCTAGGTCGAGAATCGTTTTTTATGTTCAATGATTTTATATCATTGAATTCAAATTTTATACCATCTATTACAGCGACTTTCTAGACACCCCGTGTACTGCGCAGCGACATCCACTTACCCGATTTTTAAATTTATAAAACATCACGAGCTTAAAACTTAATGTGTATCAATTTCCAATTAATTAGTATGATTACCATAAAAAAATGAATTCTAAACTGAACGAATATACTTTCAAACATAGATTGAAAGTCGAATAACAAATAACACGTCTACGTTGTAATACAGTTGTACGTGTACATAAATATGCATATTCGATCCAAAACATGGATCTTTTTGTGCTATCGCGGAGCACCCGAATGCGATTATTTTAGTGAATTTTACTGATTTCGCTCTGACACGATACGTCACCGTGCAGGTCGACGAGATGTATTGGAACTCGAAAGGGAATTCGTCGCACACTTTTCCGATAACCGTCGTAATATTATTATGCGTAAGCCTATTCACAGAGGTCTTACGTGATCGGAGTCGTACGTCCTGCGTGGACGAATGGGGTCTGTTTACGTATAGAGGGATTGTCTTTTGATTACTCACTTTGATGCGATAATTTTCGCGACGAACCGTCGTGGATCGCCGGACGATTCGAACGATAGAACCGACGATTTAATCTACGACAACGACGACCACAGTGTCTGAGGTCGGCAAGAGAGTCGTGTCGCGAAGGTCATTAAAATAAATCGCCGTCGCAGTCCGGCCGATATCTGTGATTGGTCCGCGGCGGTAAAATGTCGCTGTAAGGCGACCGATGATGTCGCGTAAGTTTTCCCGTCAGTATAACTGCAGCCGGGCACACGGCGCGCGCGACTTTATTGGCGAACACGACGAACGGACGAATATCAATGGCAACGTTCGTCAGTCGGCGTCTGCGGTAGCGCGGGAACTGATCGCAGACCGCGGGCAACACCGGCTACAACCTCGTGGTGGTCGGTCCGACAGCGGAGCAGAGCGAGCCACCGACCGGCCGAACCCTTCGGCCCCATCCCTCCGCGCGCCGCGGCGTCACGTCGGAAAACATAAATCCCAATGTTTACCGTACGGCGGCCGTGAATATATATATATACAGGTACCTACGCACACGCATTGTTGTTATTATTATTATTATTATTATTATATTGTCAAAAAGACGGAAATGCAATTTTTTTCGTTTGTTTTTAATTAAATTCGGACCCATGTCCGTGGCGAGACGTTCTAAAGATACGATAGGAGATGGCCAAACTCCAGAAGAAAAAAAAAACCAATTGTCTTGTCCTTAATTTTAGGAAAACTTTAATTTGATTACCTATTTAATATGTATTTATTTTATTTGTGATTAAATTCTAAATTGTTTTATTTTCAAAATTAGTATTAGTAGAAATCTCATTGTTTAATTTATACGAATTGCGGTTATTAAACGGTGGATATATATTACGTACTTCTACTTTAAAATAATAATAAAGTAGAAGTTACTACATGTTACCTAGGTTTATCAATATTTTATATTTTTATATTTATGTATAAAACGTAGTGTGTAAAACTGATGCGTGATGATATTGCAGTGGTACGGTCGAGTGGCTAAGACTGTGAAAAATCACTAATAGTTTTAATAGTACCTACTAACCCCCCAAATAGCTTACCCCAGATTACGTCTATGGTGACACATTTATCTGTGCTAAAATAATAGCTCGTTTTAATAAGTCACAGCAACAAAGTATTTTGAATCATGAAAAGATTTCAATTTACAAACATAGTTCTAGAAAACGGCTAGGTGATTCTATTTTATTATTTTATACATTTATTGTATTCTGACAATAATTATTAATGTGTCACTTGATGTAAATGTTTCTGATTCGCTAGGGGTAATTCATAGCACATCGTTTGGACTGGTTTCTCATTATACTTGTATTTAATAAGCTGGAAATAAAATGTCGTCCGTAACACGTTATATAAAGTTGATCATTTAATCAAAATACATGTTGTGTAGGTATTTAGATAAACATTTATTATAAAATGTCAATTATTTTTAGATAAATGGAAAAACTGTTAGAACAATAGTTGGTGTCTAAGATCTCCCGTCACTATATTATAAGCAGTAGTATGGTACCTACAATAATTTATAAAATGTGCAATTAAATAAAATTACAAAATATAACCGTCTCGAAAAAAATCCCTGTTTTCACTCACCCAGCGGCATTTTTAAAGAATACGAATTATCATTATACACAGTATATACGTATAAGATCGTCCCCTGTCAACAATTTTTTTAAATTATTATACGTGTACGTGCTTCGTTATATATATTATAATATTATATAATATAATCTTTTCAATTGCATATTCTGTGTAATTTATTAAACACCATTGATAGCCGTGAATAATAAAAATAAACATTTATAAATGAAATTAATGGGTGGTAGGCGTTCTTATAACACGTAAATGATTCGACCGAAAAAAAGGCTCGAAGTCCGTATACGTTATACTATGGTGCAAAACAAAATATTCATAAAAATTGCGTGGCTATAAAGAATTAAAACTGATTTAAAAATAAAAAACCTATAAGTAGAGTTGTTTCTTCACTAATCACTATACACTTAACCGATATAGAAACTAGTGGTACACACGAAAATCATTAGATCAGAGGTATACGCAACCTATTATGTAGAGTCACGGTACCAAGGAGAGTAAACTTTTCTGAAAATCTGCAGACGCTAAGATATATCTTTACTATGTGCCTGTATTAGATAGGTAGTGAAAATATGTATAATTGCTTTATATTTTAAATAAATTCATGTACAACTCTCAGTCCACTACATGGTACTCTGATCAGAAATCTCTGCCCTAGATAGAAATATTATGTTAATCTATGCGTACTTACTCGTATATAATATAATATTAATAAGTATATTCTTACAAAAATACTGAATACGCCAGTGTAGAGTATAAATTCATACTCGTATTACTGCCCTTGCACAATGGGTGTCATTTTTTATAATACTACTAATTAGGTATAGTTACTATAATAGGTGTATGTCTAATGTCTATATAGTTGATGAGTTGTTAAAAACCATAGTATATCTTTTCCTACACCTTCCTCTCATGCAGTGATTGATGTTTTGAGGAAGAGGTGTGCTCACGGACGAAATTTGATATTTAGATAACCCCCCCCCCTCTCCCAACTAACTAACTAACTATTTTTATTGTAATAATGAGAAGAATAAGGGGTAATTTTTCTTTTAATGAATACGATATTCAAATTCCATTTGATTAGTTATGCAACTCATCGTTATTATGATAACAAGAACTAAATTATTTTATCTATTTATCATTTCTATAATATTTATTGTTTCTTATGGTAATATTCTAAATATTTATCATTTATTTAAGATTTAAAATTTAAACTTAGGTACTTGTACATGATCATGTACATTAAGTACCATTGAAATAATTCGATAGCTAATGCACTAGATACAATAATTTTTTTTTAAAAACCAAAATACTAAATGAAAAATGAAAGCGAACAGTACGGTCATAATACATATAGTAAATAAATTCTTAATATTAAAAATAAAACACCTTATTGCTTATTACTTACTTATTAGATTATATATTTTGTTAATTTCTAATATAGTTGGGCAGTATACTTTTTTATTATCGAACATTGATCGAATGTAAATGTTAACGTATTAAATGTTAAAACAGTATATTTTGTTTATTATTAATGTAATATACATTTTATATTAGACATATAAGCTCCCTTCTGTGTTTTTTCATATCTAGTTAGTAATTTATGTATTTGAGTTTTTTTAATTGAAGATTATTTCATGGGTATGTCGTGTGTGTCAAATAGTTTTACACTTGTAGGGACGTAGATTTAAACCGATAACTGAGCACTCTACTTATTTATCCAATATGAGTACTTCTACCTACTCTCAATTTCTAGTTTAGCTATAAAAATGTAATAATAGTTATTAATTAATATACAAGTAGATCGTACATTTAAGTTTAAATTATTTAGATGATAAATAAATATGTCTCTATTGTATAAAAAAGATGAGTATTTTTTTGTTTTCTTATATTTTATCATTCTTATACCAAGAAAATTAAAAATTAATAATAATTTTAAAAAGCCGGAAAAGATGCTTTGTTGTATAAAAGGTTTTAAGTGTAGTTTTTAATTGAGTAGGTCACTGTAATGGATGGGTTAAATTTGAATCCAATGATAAACCATGAAATATGATAAAACGATTCTGAGCGGAAACGGAGTATTAGCCTCTACGGATATCTTATAGTTTATTTATATTACACTAAGTACATTTTTCAAAATAACGACGACCTTTTAACTTCAGGCACTTACAAAAAAATAAATGGTATTTAACAATTTATAAGGAATCTCGTATTAATTTTTCAAGCTTTTTTACTAATAAAAATGTTTACAATAATAATTGTATTACACATAATAATATAATATTATATCAAACAAAACTTGAACGTTTTAAATATCTTAAAATAGCATAAAAAGAACCTAATTATTTTGAAAATAATATCATGTCTAGGAAAAGATCATTATTTTAAAGTCCCTACATTAATATTTAGTTATCTGCTTACGACTCGTATGAAAAAATCTGCAGTCCATTCACATTGATGGAAAATATCCTGTCCACAACATACGGGGCAGTATGATACAACTCCAAAAAATTACAAATTTACAATAGTGGTAATAAATTGGTTTATCAATCTGGACATCAGAATTTAAGTCAATGCCAATACAATCAAGACTTCACTAATTTAGTCTATTTATATATCTATATATTTCATATTTTATCAATTTATACCTTTTTTTATTATATTATTTACCGATAATCTATGTTATTAGTGTTGTATACAAACCAGACGATAAATAATAAGAAAATAAACAAAATTGATGTTTGTAAAACTGGTTTTCAGCAAATTTTCAAATTTTTTTTAGTTTTTTTGATTATTTTGAATCATCTAAAAATTATTCTATACCTTAAGGTTATTTTTAGTACTTTATACACAGATCGCTTTTCGGTTTTTTTAGTAAAAACCACTGTTATGACACAATATATTCCCATTTGCCATACTGAATTTTTTTATACAAGTCACGCATATCTAATCAAGACATAATGAATAGACAATCAATCATAAGCATAAATCGTGGAAGGCTTAGGGGTGATTAGTGATTACTAATTAGCACCACCAGTTTTGAAATTAGCATCTTCATGATTAATGCCATTTGTGGACTAACTGGAAAAAATAAGAAGAATGAGCTTCTTAGCTTTTCTTCAAAATTGCTCCACTGCTATCAATTATACATTAATATGTAACTATAATAAATGTAATAAGTACTAATAAAGTAATAACTAATAAATTATTGTTTATAAATTATCAGCTGTCCTAGCGGGATTACATTACACACTATACTTTACGTATACATTACCATATCAAATAATACATCTGGATAAAAAAAAAAATTTCCGATTTATTTAGATAAAATAGGTAAAATAGTATTGTATTATAAATATATTATCTCTTTAAATTAAAACGGTGATACAGTGATCAGTAAAAATGTAACTCCAATTTATTGGTCGAAATTTTAATTTCTAAGATTTTAAGATTTTAAAATCTAACTAAAATATTAGGTAGGTACTTTAATATGCAATGTGCATTATTAATTTTCAAATAATATTTATTACCTAATTGTTTAAAGGAAAAAAATATTATAACAATAATTAAAAATTTTTGGCAACAAGTGATTCAATTCTGCTAAGTTTTTAAGTTAAAGAACATCTTATCGAGCACATGGAAAAGGATCATTTTATTAGAGGTGTCCTCTAGGAATACAATAATTGAGAAGTGGCCTTATTTTTGATATCTTTTTACTGTAAATATGGTAAAGGACTTCT